GCAGCAACAAGGACACACACACACACACACACAGACACACACACACAGACCCATGGCCGTTATTGCCCTTATTAGAGCAGATGTCTAGTTTCAGTCAGGCCCTGAGGTTTAAGGTCCTGTGCCCAGCCTCCCAGCAGCAAGCCGCCACCTGATTGGACCATTTGTCTTGCTGGGGTGTCGTGGTATTCAGTACAGACTCATTTGAATCAGAGCGAGTACAAACCTTCATAGTTATTTTTCCTTAAGCCCACAACAAATCAGTACTGACAGGAAATGGAGGGAAGTCCCCTTCTGCCAGGTTATCTGTCCATTTTACAGGATTTTTGGTTCTATAGGTATTTTTATTTATTATTTCCATAATTTTTGCAATAAAATAAGCATTTTCTGGTCTGAAATATTGAAAAATATAAACATATATTAAGAATATTGATTTAAGATATAATAAATCCATAAAACAACCCGGCATACAGTAGATGAGCAGACAGCTGATGAATGGGAAGTAGCAATATTTCATTTTGTTTCCTCTTTTTCTCCTTTTTTAATATTTGTGTCAATAAGTGTCAAAATTATTTGAGAGCATAGGCAGTGTTTGTAAGAGTGGTAGAGGATTATGGGAGTGTGGGGATGGTTTGTATGGGGTTTACACGTCGATACAAGGGATCACATTATTTTTCAGATATGTACGATTTAAAGAAAAACGCATAAATTGATAGGTTGTTTGATGGGTAAGGTGGAAGAAAGCACTGCTTAAATTAGACCTAAAGATACACATTTAGGACTGTGTGCTGAATGGTTTTATCCCCTTTTGTGAGGCTTTCAACATTTGTGCGTACGCTGATGGCCTTTAGGAGAGGTCTCATGTTTTTCTCATCCCGTCTGCTCTTTCAGCGATGACCAGCTGGAAGATTCGGACAGTGAGGAACATTCGCGGTCAGAGTCCGTCACAGGTAAGGTGGGACACGGTCTGAGGCCTGGTCCGTCCCCCTGTGTGCTCCCCGCTGCTGCTGTTGAGGGCAGAAGGGTTGTCAAAATTATCGATACTTAAAAAAGTATGGATACTAAAATGTTGTATCCGGATACGATACTCATTTTCAAAAGTATCGATACCACCCCCCTTCTCTCTGATTTATTTATGTATTTATTTACGTTGTTTATGGTCATTAACAAGACGTTAGCCTTGAACTGCTAGCTGCGGCCAATAGCTAATAATAACATGCTAAAATTAATCAAGTACATATCCAGCTCCGCCCACATGAAGTCGGCCATTTTGATTAAGTTACCAATAGGAAGATCCCAGGCAAGAAAATCCTTATGGCTTCATGGCAATATAGACATTAATTTAGAAATAGTGAAAATAATCTTTCAACACTTAATTAAACTCTATCCATAATATTATGTTAAAATAGTGTAATGTTAAATAGGTTTGTACTATAAGTCCAAACAAGTTTAACCAAACAACATTTATTTCTCACAATTATGAAGGGTGTAGGGTTAGGGTTAGGGTTAGGATTAGGGTCATTAATACGGGCCACCACTCACGATAACATCAGTAAAAGGTCAGTTTGAAATGAAAGACACTAACCTGTCAGAATTCAGTTAAATTTTGGGGTCTTTGTTTTTATCCTTGTGGTATCGAAAATGGTATCGAGTATCGAGCATTTTCCTGAGTATCGGTATCGAGTTGAACATTTTGGTATCGTGACAACCCTACTCAGGTGTGCTCCCCCCGTCTGTTGCAGGCCAGTCGTCCCAGTGGGAGAGCATGGACGTGAGCCTGGGGGTGACCGCCCTCAGCGTCCTGCAGCAGCCCGAGAAGCTCCAGTGGGAGGTGGTGGCCAGCGTGCTGGAGGACACGGTCAAAGACCTGGAGGAGCTGGGGGCCAACCCCTCCCTCAACCAAGCCAAGGCCCACTCCCACTCCCACTCCCAGGCCAAAGCCAAGGACAAGGCCCCCGACCACCACCACCACCACAACATTCCCTTCCCCTGCCTGCTGGCCGGGGGCCTGCTCAGCTACCGCTCCCCCTCGGGCACCCCGGTGGTGGCCGGGCCCTCCAACGCCCCCCCCCCCCCCCCCCGGACCCCCCCCGGCCCCCCGCGGACCCACGGCGCCGAGCCCTTGTTCGGACCCCTCCAGGAGCAGGGGCCCATCGAAATCGAGTCCGGCCCCGCCCAGCCCCCCCCGACGGGGCGGGGCTTCCCCACCCCGCTCCCGGGCCCCCCCCCGCCGCCGGCCGCCCGCAGGACTACGCCGGTTTTGCTGCTGTACAGCGTCCGCGAGGCGGACGACAAGTCCCCGGGGCAGGCCTTCGCCCAGATGAACAGCCTGGTGGGCAAGGGGCTGCACGAGGAGGGCTTCACCGTGCCGCAGATCATCGAGATGGAGTTCGACACGCACGAGCAGCTGCTCCTCCAGGACCCGCCCATCACCTACATCCAGCAGTTCGCCGACGCCGCCGCGGCGTCCACCACTCTGGACGGCCACGCGGACAAGTGGAGCACGCTGGCGGCCTCGGCCGCGGCCGGCCCCCCGCGGCCCGGCGCCCTGGTCCAGTGCGTGCGGCTGCCCGGGCAGCTGGAGGGCCAGCGGCTGTACGTGGACTCCATCACGCCCTGCTGGGACGGCGTGCACCTGCTGGTGGTGCTGCAGCCCCACGCCGCCGCCGCCGACCAGCCGCCCAGCGCCTCCAACCAGGTGGAGGCGCTCAACAACATCAACCGCCTGCACTCGGCCGCCCTCTGCGGCCACCCCGTGGCCAACGGCGTGGAGCCGTCCCCGCCCCAGACCCCGCTCATCCTGCCCCCGCAAGACCAGCAGCAGCACAGGAGGGCCCCCGGCGGCCGGGGCGGGGGGGGCGGGGGGGGGTACCTGGCGCTCTACAAGCTGAACTACTCCACCCGCATCGTCACCCTGGAGGAGGAGCCGGTCAAAGTCCAGCAGATCCTGGACCCCTGCGAGGCGGTCACCTCCCTCATCCTGCTGCCCCCCGACGTGCTGGACAGCAGGGAGGACGACAGCGAGGAGTCCCCCGAGGAGGCCCGCCCCTCGGCATCCAAAAACTGCTCCTCGGGGGCGGGGTCCGCGGCCAGCGGCGGCACGGCCCCCCCCCGCCCCCTCCACATCCGCCGCCGGCCACAAGCGGGCGGAGGTCAGCGGCCTGGGCCACCTGGTGGTCACCACGCAGGCCGGCTGCATCATGGTCCTGGACCTGTCCACGCTGGAGGTCCTGGTGAAGGTGGAGCCGCCCAAAAAAGAGGGGTCCCCCGAGGAGACGGACCCCTTCGTCTCAGTTATCTACTGCTCTGGGACTGACCGCCTTTGTGCCTGCACCAAAGGTAAACGCTTGCTGATTTTGCAGGTTTGCCCACTTACAAAGAATGCTTATTTTTCCTCATCAGATGCTTATCAATTTTTATAAATTCATACGATGTGATTTTCTGGAATTTTCTTTGGGATTCTGTCTTCCACTGTTAGAATGTACATATGATTAAAGTTATAGATCGTTGCGTTCTTTGTAAGTGGGCAAACCTGCAAAATCAGCGAGGGGTCAAACACTTATTTCCCCCTACTGTATGTGTTGAGGAGCACAGAAATAATCCAGTCAGACGCTGGGTGGTGCTGCGCCTGGAGTTTTTTTTTGTTTTCTATTTAAGGAGTTAGCCAAGTAGGAGCTGTTGGTGCTAAAACTGTGTTAGGAGGCTCCGGCCCAGAACGGAGATGCAGAATAAGGCACTCTGATGCTCGTTGACACTAGACCCAGTTGGGATTTAGAGAGGCAGTTTTGTTCCATTTGAACTTTGTACAAGCCTGCAGATGTTGTTCTTTTCAGTCCAAACTTATGACACAATTCAAACGGCTGCTTAAAGACGTACAGAGTCTTTAATGAAGGGAGGTCCAGAGCACCACCAGCTGCTGTGGGGGGGTCATATAGTCCAGGGTTAGTGTTAGTACGATGGGAACCAGTCTGACTTTCGTTTTTGTTATGGTTTAGATCAACATAAGGAATAAGTTCACCTCAGATTTTTCATTTGGGAGAAGCTGCAGAACATCTCCTCACATTTGTGTCTTTTTGTTGTGTCTTTCCCTTTTTCCATCAAGGTGGAGAACTTCATTTCCTTCAAATTGGAGGCGTGTGTGATGATATAGATGACGGGGACATGTTTATTGATGGCCCCCTTTCTAAAGGGGCTGACCTGCTGCTCGAGGGGGCCAAGCCCTCCTCCAACCCTTCTAGCCCCGGAATCACAGGTCTGAGCCGCCAGGAAAAAAAAAACCCTCCATTCTGCTGTAGGGGTGGGACGGTTCACAAAATCCACGGTTCGGTTCGATTCACGGTTTTGGGTTTGGTTCGGTATATGTTGATTGTTAAGAAAATCTATTATGTCTTGTATAGTCAGGTTAAAACTGAAAGAAAAAAGCGGTCTGACATTTGATACATTATTGTGACAGTCTTAGGTTAAAAGTTGCAAGAGAGGAAACAGTGCTAATTCCAACATGTGCTTCCCTCTAAATGCAAAGTGGTCTCATACAGCAGACCTAGAAACTGCTGTTGGCGCGTCTGATTTTTATGGGCTACGCTGCTTCACTTCTTCTTCTTGTTTCCTACTGGTGGTTGGCTTTGGGCGCAGTAGCGCCCCCTTCTGCTCTGGAGTGTAAACGCTTCCCTATGAAGAAAAGGAGCAGCAGGAACCGAACGCGAACCGAACCGAGACTGTCGAACCGAACCGTTCGGACGGTTTTCAGAAACCGTCCCATCCCTATTCTGCTGGGGTCCCACAGGGGGCCGTTCTGGTTCTCATTGTCCTTTCGCTCAGGAGTGGAGCTCCTGGTGGAGCAGCCCCTGGCCACGGAGAGCCTGATGTCCCTGGTGGAGATGACGCGCTTCGAGACGCTGACGCCGCGCTTCTCGGCCACCGTGCCGCCGTGCTGGGCCGAGGTGCAGCAGGAGCAGCAGCAGCGCCGCCACCCGCAGCACCTGCACCAGCAGCACCACGGCGACGCCGCGCAGCACACCCGCACCTGGAAGCTGCAGAGCGACAGGTCTGTGCCCGCGTCCAGGCCCGGGCTTTTAGTAGCTTCGATCCAAACTCAGCATTCGGTATTTTACACATATGCCTTAGTTTTTTAGCTTTTAACTCATTGACTGCCACAGTTTTTTTTAGCATTTTGACTGATTTTTTTAAGAGCCACAAAATAGTTTGTGCTATGACTATGTAAACACAGAACACACCAAAAGAAAGAGTAGACTCTTCTTTCATCAGGAAAAAAAATGTGTTTCTACCAAGTTTTTCCTTGCCTGTGTCGCCTAGTGCTTGCTCATGGTGGGAATTGTTGGCTTTCTGTAATCAACTTCAGAGTAGGGTCTGACCTGCTCTGTTTGGAAAGCGGTGTGAGATGACTGTTGTTGTGATGTAGCGCTATATAAATAAAATTTAATTGAATTGAATTGAACTTATTCCGTTCTTCCTAGACTTGCGTCTCACCGGCGACATGTTCTCTCATAGAACCGTTACCTTTTTCTTATTTGCCTACAGTCTATGCTCATCTCCCATCAAAAGTGGCACTGCCCCCTAGAGGGTCAATATGTTACTACATACTCTGTCTAGAAGCCCATATTTACGGACAAGCTTTAGCAGATCGTCCCCCAAGCCACTCTCGTTGAAAAACATAAAAGACCTCTATAGACGTCTTTGGCAGCCAATGAGTTAAAGAGTACGTCCGTCCATTGGTGGCTGTGATGTTCTTCAGTTTAACTTTATCTTACGGATTTTCATGTTTTGTCTGGACAAATCCAGTGTGGTTTGTTTTTGATTTTCTGCTAATGGTGGCCTGTTGTTTGTCCGCAGCTCCAGCTGGGACGAGCATGTGTTTGAGCTGGTGCTGCCCAAGGCCTGCATGGTGGGCCACGTGGACTTTAAGTTCGTCCTGAATGCCAACATCGTCAACATTCCTCAGATCCAAGTGACTTTGCTGAAGAACAAGGCACCGGGGCTCGGCAAAGTCAGCGGTGAGGACCCTGCTCTTTGTGTGTTTGTGTCTGTGTCGGACTGCCTATACTAAGGGCAATTTTCACACATTCTTTTTTTTCCAACTAAATGAAGCCTTTAATTGAGCAGAGATGGTTAATGGTAATAGAAAGAACTGCGTTATGGCAAAAAGCAGCTGTATTGCCTTGTGATTTCTTCAGCAAAGACAACTTCTTCGTCTGTTTCTCCCCCCCCTGAGTAGAGACAGCAGTGGACAGACAGATCTCCT